GCCGTCTAAGTTCTAGTCTAGCGATGGTCGTCTTTCAGCCGTCTAAGTTCTAGTCTAGCGATGGTCGTCTTTCTAATAGTAGCTGGGATAGTACAAGTAGCGGAGGTGCTGTTGAGGATTCCCTGACTTCTGCTACTGCAGTCCTGTGGTCTCGCACATCCTTTTGGAGTGTGCGGCGGCTCCTTCAATGGCTTCAGGAGGATGCTTCGAGCCCAAATGAAACCTGTGAGACAGCGCGAACATGCATGGGCGGTCATTGCACATGGCCAGCTACATTGGCAAGACATCCCTATGCCTTGATAGCACTGCTGATGATTTTCCTTGCTAAACTACTGCCAGGCTGACAGCTTCTGTTGTAGAATCAAAGCTGCACCAACCATTCGCCCAGCCAGCCCAGCCAGCCAGTTGCGTGCAGTGACTAACGCCTAGTAGGGCCTAGTAGACACTGGTCGCGCTATTACCCAAGAAGAGGATTCTCAAGCCTTCGGTCTTTCTTTGAAGTGGGTCCCAGGGTCCTGTTTCTGGGGTTGGACATCACGTTCACAGAAGAGGAATAAGGTCTCGGTCGTGAATCCAGATGTCATGACGTCCCTCGACTTGGACCCTTGCTGGACTTCTGCAACGCGCAGTGATACATGGCTCTGCTGCCAAGGGCCTATACATTCCCTTGCATGAAGTCGGTTCCTGACGGTATGACTGGCCCTAAAGCCCTAAAGTGGAGCGATAGCGCATAGCGCGTTTCACTCAGATCTGCTGAGGGGTTGACACTGCAGACCAATGAGCCATAGGCGCTCAAAAACAATTCGCTGTTTGACAGCTGCGTCATAGCCAGGACAGCGTTAGCTGGGGTGCAGGATGGGATCCTTGTTCTCGCGCACAACCAATTTGCTCACATCTGAAAGGCGCATCTGAATTCAGGCACCATGTAGTGATCCTCCTTCTCTCCTTTTTGTGCATGCACGCAGGTTTGCTTGACGCAGACTGGCAGCGCGCCACCCCCTTGCTACCACTGTTGAAATCTTCTTCAAAATCAAATCCATGACAGTGTTTCAGCGGAATTAGATGTCTACCAGACACTGTGCTACTGCTATATTACAGTCTATACAGAGGCTAACCCTGAACCTCCAAGCACGACCTGAACTATCAGCCTGCGCAGATGCCACACAAGGAGCAGCAACGCGAGAGTGGCAGCCACGGAGGGCTACGGTTGCCACTCCGCAACTCCAAGCTGTGCCAGCACATGAGAACGTCAAATCCGAACTCATCCCATAGCTCAACACCCAAGATGCTAGTCACCGCTTCACGAACTTCTTCCTTCGTGTGAGAATGCAATGCTCTTTGCAGTAGCCCTAATGATCCCTAATTATGCTGGCACCCTCGCATGGCTGTGGAGAATTTTCAACACAAATGCACCACGAGTCCACTTGTAAAGAGAGCAGCCGAAATCTGGGACAAGAGCTCAACCGCGTGTTGGTTCTGGTTTCCTAGGTTTCCTAGCGCTTGGGGCTTCTGGCTTTAAGGGCTTGCCAGCTTCTGGGTTGCTTCATTAGCCTCCTGAAACGCTCAGAGGTGGCACCAGAAAAAATCCTCTGAAGCCTACATAGCCCAAACTTTGAACATCTGCGGCAAAGCCGGTCTAGGGCTAATTTCCCATGCGCCTTCTTCAACACTGATTGGCTTGGTCAACAAGTCACAAGTCTTAATGGAAGTTGTGTGGGAACGCTGCGTCAGCTGCCGCCCCAGTTGTGCTGGGCTTCTACCATACCCTCGTATATAGACAGTCTCTGAAGGCCATCTACCTTCCACTCTTCAGGGCCTCGCTTGATTACCTGTACAAGGGGGTGAAGCCTGCATCACTACAAATTCCTGTCCCCCAGCAAAGCATAGAACATCATAGAACCCCAATTCAGATGCTTTTCAAGATGATGGTCGTCCTCCCCTTGCGGATGCCAGGCTGGTGTGATTGGGGTCAACAGGGTTGGCTTTAGAAAGCAAACACTTCCCAGAGCATGAGCTCTCAACACACATTTTTGTTCTCGGCTCGAACAATAAGAGCATCTTGTAATCAGTATGCAAAGACCTCTAGTGGCAAGGTCATGGACAACGAGGCCCA